ATCTGTTGTTGTGGGGACATTTCCACGCCCTGAAACATGACGCTGAACGAAACGAACTGTAATTGGTTGTTTGACATGTCAGTCAAACGGCCTTATGGGCGGGCCTTGGCCAAAGAAAGCTGCTATGAATTCCAGACCTTCAGCCGTCAGTCTGAAGGTCTGGCTACGCGAGACTACTCACTCACTGGCACTCACACACTCACTGACACTCACTCACTGTCACTCACTCACTCACTCACTCACTATTGTTTTTAAGCAGTACAAACTTAAACTAAACACAACCATCACAGACAACTTTCAGCATTTTTATGATAAAGGCATTTTTAATGATAATCATCTGACATAAGACAGCTTTATAAATGAACACTTGTTGTGGGACTTGTATAGATGGATTTAGATATACAGTTTCTTTTCTATGAACCCTGTTTATGCATGTTATTTCTGTATCGTCTACAACTGTAATTGATCAACACAAATCTCACCAAAAGGAAAAATTCAGAGAGACATTACATCATCTGACGTGAAGGACTTTCCAGGATTGAGGAACAGAATGAGGAAAGAAAAGACTAATAAACCAAGAGTGAAATATGAGTACATTTCCTCTGTGGAGGGAGACCGTGAGAAACCTTCATCATGAAGATGATAACGGTGATTTCTTGCTGTTGCTCCGTGGATTATTAATGGACTACTCTCACAACTACTTCCTCGTTCTACTTAGCACATATCGGGAGTTTCCGGTAAGAGCGTTCAGCACACACGCGCACACACACGCATGAGAATCCAGATTATCACTATGTTTTATGGCTGCCAATTGTTTAAAACAGTGAATAATGATATTAATTACTGTACCTTAAGCCTGCTGAAATGTTCCTATAAATATAATTTATTTCCAACTGTTCAATGCTCGTCTTATTAACTGTGCTTTTCTCTAACTGATATTTCATACCTACTGAGTTTACATTTTTAAATGAATTTGACTATTAAAAAGGATTGCTTGTGTGCACTGGTGCTTTATTCCAGTCTTTTAAAATAGTGGAATGAATGAATGCTCTGTTAAAAAGGCTGCTGGATATTTAATTAATCTTAAACAGTAACACACACAGCGTAGAGGAGAATGACAGTCAACTTTGAATAAGCATTTTGGGCATAAACATGTAAATATTAAAAAGACTGACATTGAAAAATTACACAGAATAATTAAAATATTGAATCCAAATAAATAAATGTTGGTGGTTCACACTGATGTTATTCCTCTATTCTCACACACTTCAGTGTCGCAGTCACTGGTTTAGACGAACACACCAAAATAATGGCGTATTTTTAACAGCCGCTGCTTTCTCAGATCGGCTTGTGTTGGATTAAAACTTCATGTTGATGAGTTTGGGAAATTCTGGACACAGTAAACATCAGAATATCCCTTTTCCTGTCAATAACAATCTCCACATTTTTAAATCTTATTGTGGACACTCATTTTAAGTGCGTTTGGTCAACTCAATGACCACAGTACATTAAAAGTAAACATAACCGGAAATAAGCGAGATGTACTATTTCTAAACGTAAGTGCGTCACGAAGCTCAGTGCAAGTGTCTACTGACGTCTCTGGCAGATTACTTCACTCAAAGGAGATATGGGGGAACAATGACTGTTGTATCACAAATAAAATACTCTGTCATTATTCTGTACATTATATATGTTGCCTGTGGTTTATTTAGTGCATTATATTGTATATTATATTGAGTTCCCTTTCGTAGTCACTTCGAGTTACGTTGAATGACGACGAAATGGGGTTTCACTTAGAAAGCCTATCAACTCCGAGCATTACAAAACGAGTTAATGGCAAAGAAATGCCATGGGTCTGCGGATTTTGCATAGCGTGACTCCGCCCCACCCCGTGGGAATATAAGGAAGTATGCCGGCAATATGCAGATGTGTTTTTGCTTCGGAGCAAAGAAGTTCTCTTCACTCCTGCAGCCTATTCTCTGACTATCTTCGAGAATCTTCTAGACAAGCAGCTTCCAGTCGGTGTTGGTGTGATGGCGTGTTCCAGAGAGTTGCACATTCCTGCCTGCTGATCTGTGCAGCGTGCGCGTTTTTCCCTGGGCGCTTCAGCACTGCTGCAAGCTTTTCTCTCACAAAAAGAGCGTGCACGTGGCACGTCTTTCTAAAGATGACCTGCCCGTGTATTTCTGAGTGCGGTATTCTGATAGATTCAGCTGATGGGCACGAGCGCTGTTTGGACTTGTCTGGGCTTCGATCACGCTCAGACAGCACTCGTGAATGCGTCACGTTCTCCAAGTAGGAACATGACCATCGCAATATGACGTTCGAGATTCGATGAGCTCAATATAACAAGAGTCCCCTCATCCACACCCCAATCTATTTTCTCCACGCGAGATGGCCAGGCCAGGTGGCCAGGGTGACCTAAGACGGCTGTTCTGGAACTAAACCGACAAAATATCCTTGGTCCACACCGCCTCTTTCACCCGTGCGGTTCTGAATGAGTTCGCTGACCAGAGCTGTGTTAGAGGACACCACATCTGTGTCCCCACAGTGCCTCCACCTGGAGTGGCGACCCTAAGCATCCCTTCAATGCCTGTAGGTTTTTTGTCTGCTCTGGTGGCAAACACCCATAGAGCTGCGGGGCAGGCTGCCATTCTTCAGGGTGCTCAATGGCATGCACAAGAGTAGAGCTGATCCAGGGATAATCCAAGAGCTACCTGTCGCCACCGACCTCGCTCTACAAGCGACGAAGGTGACTGCACGCTCCCTGGGTCAAGTGATGTCCACATGCATGGTCAGACATCTCTGCCTTAACCTGGTTGATATACGCAAGGCTGAGCGAACCCTACCTCAACTCCCCCATATCCCCACTCTTCGGCGGCGTGGTCGAGAATTCTGCCCAAAAGTTCTCGGCCGCCCAGAAGCAGACTGAGGCTACCAAACATGTTCTGAACCCACGGCCAGCTTTTCCACCCAGCCGCCGGCTTAGACGCCTCAGTCCGCTTGCCGCCAAACACACCCTCCTGTGACTTCCGTCCCTCCCACCCGGCCCCAGCAGCACAGGGCCGCGCCATGGAGGTCGTCACAAGAAGGCACCATTGCACCCCTGACAGAGTAGGCCCCCATGGAATGCTGGTCCTTCCCTAGCCTTCCACTGTCAGGATGTGACATATGACTGTGCCCCCACATCGGAACGGTCTGCCTCCCACGTCTGGGCCAGTCATTCGCTGCCCCATCGTGGGTATGTCTGTGGTTCAAATGATCCAGCTGGTTCAATAGCTTTCCTATCTGTCCCGCTGGCTCACAGGAATCATCAGACTCGGCTATGCGATTCGGTAAGTTCTTTATTCTTAAGTGCTTTGTTCTAATCACATTATTGAATAGTGTCTGTAAACTGAATAAAGACTGTTTAAATATGATGATATTCATGGGATATGGGATATTCACGCACGACCATTTCTAGGGTTTACAAAGAATGGTGTGAAAAGGGAAAAAACATCCAGTATGCGGCAGTCCTGTGGGCGAAAATGCCTTGTTGATGCTAGAGGAGAATGGGCCGACTGATTCAAGCTGATAGAAGAGCAACTTTGACTGAAATAACCACTCGTTACAACCGAGGTACAACTATTTGTGAAGCCAGAAAACGCACAACCTTGAGGCGGATGGGCTACAACAGCAGAAGATCCCACCGGGTACCACTCATCTCCACTACAAATAGGAAAAAGAGGATGCAATTTGCAAGAGCTCACTAAATATGGACAGTTGAAGACTGAAAAAATGTTGCCTGGTCTGATGAGTCTCGATTTCTGTTCAGATGGTAGAGTCAGAATTTGGCGTAAACAGAATGAGAACATGGATCCATCATGCCTTGTTACCACTGAGGTGCAATGGTGTGGGGGATGTTTTCTTGGCATACTTTAGGCCCCTTAGTGCCAATTGGGCATCGTTTAAATGCCACAGCCTACCTGAGCATTGTTTCTGACCATGTCCATCCCTTTATGGCCACCATGTCCCCATCCTCTGATGGCTACTTCCAGCAGGATAATGCACCATGTCACAAAGCTCGAATCATTTCAAATTGGTTTCTTGAACATGACAATGAGTTGACTGAACTAAAATGGCCCACAGTCACCAGATCTCAACCCAATAGAGCATCTTTGGGATGTGGTGGAACGGGAGCTTCGTGCCCTGGATGTGCATCCCACAAATCTCCATCAACTGCAAGATGCTATCCTATCAATATGGGCCAACATTTCTAAAGAATGCTTTCAGCACTTTGTTGAATCAATGCCACATAGATTTAAGGCAGTTCCTAAGGCGAAAGGGGGTCAAACACAGTATTAGTATGGTGTTCCTAATAATCCTTTAGGTCAGTGTAGAATATTATCTGTAAAACCAAAAAAGACTGTTGACTAGTTTTGGATAGATTATAAAGTTTTTATTATAAAATAGACATCAAATAAGTTTTTGTTAGCCAGTTTCTGCTCAAATGTAAAATAATATAATAAATAATAAAATAAAATAATAATAATAAATAATCAGTGGGCTGTTTTGCATGATTAAAAATGTTTCGTTGTAGTTTTTAATAAATGTGAGAAGTGATACTGTCCGAAGGCAAAAGTTTGGGTCGGTGAAAAAAAAAATCAGAAAATTGATTTCAAAACAACAATTGTGGCTGTTCATGTTTATGTCTAGGATTGTTGTTGATCTTTAACATTATAGTAATGAACAATATGACATCTTTTGAAATGTTATAATAACATTTCTCTGGGGATTTGATTTTTTTTTTTATTTGATTTATTTGTAAATTGACTGTGAAATAAGTTTTTTTTAATTTTATTTTATCTTTTTTTAAACGTGGGTTCACATACATGTTCGCATACATGCTTGGTGTCACTTTTTGACACACTAAGTTACCCCTTCAGTGTTCAAAAACTATTAAAAAAAACTCTCAGTCTCACATTCAAACCAGACAGGATGATTCTTACTGATCCACTTACTTGAGTTTGTCCAGTGTGCAGTCTGGATGCTTCATTATATCAGAGAGCAGCTTCACTCCTGATTCTTCTGGGTTATTGTAGCTCAGATCCAACTCTCTCAGGTGTGAAGGGTTTGAACTCAGAGCTGAAGCGAGAGCAGAACAACCTTCTTCTGTCACCAAACACTGAGATAATCTACAACAACAGGAAGTGTTAATGTTAGTATGCTCTTTTTTTTAGAGAATTTTACAGAAACAACACTGCTCTAAAACCCATCAATTATCTTTACTGATTGATTGTAGATTATCCCATTTCAAAATTGACTGTGATTATGATTGTCAAGTTATTAAACAGTAAGGAATTGGAAGCTATGGTAAAAAAAAAAAAAACTCAAGTCTTTCCGACTTGAGTGTGGAGTATAGTGTCTGGATACTTTGTGAGGCTGTTACTATAGTAGCCGAGTTCACTAGTTGATTGTCTAGGTAAGGCAGGGTGCGAGAAAAGCATGGACTTTCAGCGTATGTGAGAGGGCATAAGACAACTCGAGGTGTCGCACACCAGACGCGCACTTTCTCCGTTTATGGACAGCAATATTGTTGTGTTTAAGGACATTATTGAATTAAGATTATGTCTGTACTTTATGGCGGTATGACGGTATATATCACTACCGCGGAAGAAAATGTCAACCGTAACAGATTTTTTTATTTCATGTATACCACAACATGTTAATAATTGGGCGTGGTTAACTCCCGTGCAGCGTGCGTGAGACTGAGACACTGAGATTTTACTTTTACAAAGTTTTTACAAAGGAATTACTTTTTCTAAAGGGTTGTTGTTAACGTGTAGCTTGGGTTTCCCCATTGCGCAGTGCAATTTCATTCACGCTGCTAGGCAGTTGGATACCATGGACCAAATTTTCACCTCAGCGAGGGGACCAATCACAGAACAGGGATGGAGCAGCAAGACGATGGTGACGTCTATGCAACACACCGAAGCAGTTTGTTTATACCAGGGGTCGGGAACCTATGGCTCGCGAGCCACATATGGCTCTTTTCAGGATTTTATATGGCTCTCCCAATTTTCAAATGCTGACAGAAAAAGTCTCTCAAAAAGTAAAATATTAAGAGACAATTTGAGATGCACCATGCAGCACTTGTTAATCACTTATTTATGATGCCTCAATTTGTGTGGTGTCATAACACCGGACGAGAAGCGCGCGCCGCGTCTAGGACAGAAGTATCGCACACCGGACGAGAAGCGCGCGCGTCTAGGAAAGAGGTAGCCTATTGCACCGGACGCGCACTTTCTCTTTATGGCCGGCAATATTGTTTTGTTTAAACTAAAGACATTATGGAATTAAGATAATGTTTGTACTAGCCTGTGTTATAATTGTACTGTACAATTAAATACAATCGTTGCTAAGTCTGCAGAACACTTTACCTCAGCAATTCTCATTTCGCTGATTTCTGAAATGAATGTAAAAGTAAATATAAATTGCAGCACACGGTGAACTCAGTATGTAGCCTACATTAACGACGGTTTGAGACAAATAAAAGTAAATTTTATATAAAACTATGTAGGCCTAAATGGCGCTCTGTGGCGAGGCAGGATTTTGAGCAAGGTCCTGCTGAGCCGTTGCTGGGTGCCGCGGACAGACACTGAATGTGCCGCCGGTCACCGGTGTATACACTCCTAGGGGGCTGTTTACGGCCACTTCATGCGTTCTCAGATCGGATAGCTATCTGATTTATCAAAACGATTCCATTTACACGCTGGTCACATAAATGTGTTTTTGCCAAACGGATATAAATCCGATCTTCAATTCACGCGCTATATACAGATTTAATGAAGTGCACGTCACCGAAAGCAACAGATATGAGCCGAATTTGATCTTTGGCTAATTTAAAAAAAAGCAAAGATAGCAATAAAGAGAGTGGCAACAGTACTGGTAAGATAATTTCTTTTCTTTAGACTACTTTTATGGTAGTATTAATCGTCTGCGTCTTACTTTCACTTTGATTTGCGATAGATTGCGGCGCGTTGGCTTGATAGACGTTCAGCTGCTCATCTGAGGTGATGCGTGTCGCAGTAGCATCGTCATATCTGACTAAAATAACATGACATAAAGCCTATAATACGCTCTCACACGTTTTTTTTTTTTTAGCATTTTTGGGAGGAGTAAAATTTACATATGTGGTCTCAACAACCAGATGCATTTACACATGTCCAGTTTCGTCTGGAATGCGGCCCAGACCACCTCCTGAAGTGGTTTGAGCGATCGGATTTAAATCCGTCTCAAATGCGTTTCGGGGGGCATTTACTCCTGGTCTTTTCACGATCGGATCGCTATCCAATCTCAGAAAACGCATGAAGTGGCGCTTCTTGTCCAGTGTGCTAAGAAATCAGCATTCAGACATCCCAAGTCTCCTGGAAGTTCCGGGAGTCTCCCGTATATTGATACCGTCTCCGGTCTCCCTGATGCCCGAAGCGAAAATTTGTTAAAATCTCCCGGAATAGAGCGAGATAGAACATGCTGCGTTATGTGCCTCGCGAAAGCTAGTCAACCCCACCCCACACACAAAAAAAACTTTTTTTGTGTGTGTGTGGAAAAAAAGTGTTGTTGTTGTAACGATAAAGGAGCTGTATGTAAGAAATTTATTTCAAATAATCATAAATTATGCCCTGATATGTCACTATACATTAAGAAATCATGTTCATTTCAAATACTTATATCACTGACAACAGTAGTCTGGCCAGGATATTGTCATTTAAAAAGTGAAGTGCCCTCAACTGTCATGTTGTGTTTTGGTCTGATGCTCCGCCCTCCACCGATCTACCAATCACGAAGTCAGTAGTGTTGCAGCATTCGGGTTGCCAGCTCTGCTCTAGTTACCACAGCTGCAGATACAAACGTGTGGGATAAAAAAATGTTGTATCCTGCAGCCTATTTGGCAACCTCGAGTCAGGGGGGAGGGGGAGGGGACACACCGCTCTACAGTAATTTGAAACTGATTGCAGTACCAGTTTTGGCCACAATCTTACATACAGCTCCTTTAACTACCAGAACTGCTACAAGTGCAAGTCGTATATTACTACTGTTGTTATTATATACAGTGCCCTTCACAATTATTGGCACCCCTGTTTAAGATGTGGTCGAGGACTTTTAAAAATTCTCCCTTTTTTTTAAACAACATAGAATCCAAATGCAAAAAAAGAGAAAAATCCAACCTTTTATTTAAGTACATTACTTTGGTGGTAAAAAAAAATTAAAAATTTAAAAAAATAAAAACTTCAAATCATGTGTCCCACAATTATTGGCACCCCTGATGTTAATACTTTGTACAACCCCCTTTTGCCAACAAGACAGCACTTAATCTCCTCCTATAACATTTCACAAGATTGAAGAACACAGAGAGAGGGATCTTTGACCATTCTTCTTTGCAAAATCTTTCTAGATCATCCAGTATCCTGGGCCCTCTCTTGTGCACTCTCCTCTTTAGCTCACCCCACAGGTTTTCGATTGGATTGAGGTCTGGGGACTGAGATGGCCATGGGAGGACCTTGAGTTTGTGACTGAACCATTTTTGTGTAGATTTTGCCACACGTTTTGGATCATTATCCTGCTGAAAGACCCAATGACGACCCATCTTCAGCTTTCTGGCAGAGGCCATCAGGTTTTTATTTAAAATGTCCTGGTAGTTCAAAGCGTTCATAATGCCATGGACCCTAACAAGGTTCCCAGGGCCTTTGGAAGAGAAACAGGCCCACAGCATCACAGATCCTCCACCATACTTCACGGTGGGCATGAGGTACTTTTCGGCATACACATCTTTTGTTTTACACCAGATCCACTTAGAGTGTTTGTTGCCAAAAAGCTCAATCTTAGTCTCATCCGACCAAAGCACACGATCCCAGATGAAGTCCCAGTGCCGCTTGGCAAACTCTAGACGTTTACGTTTGTCAGTGTTAGTGAGAAAAGGCTTTTTCCTAGCATGCCTCCCAAACATCTTGTTGGCATGTAGAGAGCGTCTGATGGTTGTTTTGGAGATTTTGTGACCCCAAGATGCCACTATTTGATGCAATTCTGTGACAGTGAGCTTAGGACTTTTTTTTACTTTTCTTAGCATCCTCCTCACAGTGCGTTGTGGCAAGATAAACTTGGGACCTCTTTCAGCCTTGTTTGTCACTGTTCCTGTTGTTTTAAACTTCTTAATGATTCCTCAACTTTAGATATGGGCAATATAAGGTGAGTGGCTATTTTCTTGTAGCCATTGCCTGACTTATAAAGGTCATCACACATCTGCCTTACTTGAATGGTGTGTTCTCTTGTCTTTGCCATGTTGACAAATGGGTAAGAGAATTAGGCCTCTGTGTCATGTCATATTTATACCCCAGGGAAATAGGAAGTCATGAATTACTAATTAAAAGTTCCTAGATATCCTGACCAACATTAGCAACTACAGAAAATATATATTTTTTTAAAAATCAATTACATTTTTCAGCGGAATTGTTAGGGGTGCCAATAATTGTGGGACACAGGATTTGAAGTTTTTATTTTTCTAAATTTTTACTTTTTTTTTTTTACCACCAAAGTAATGTACTTAAATAAAAGGTTGGATTTTTCTCTTTTTTTGCATTTGGGTTCTATGTTGTTTAAAAAAAAGGGAGAATTTTTAAAAGTCCTCAACCACATCTTAAACAGGGGTGCCAATAATTGTGGAGGGCACTGTATTACTGTTGCAAATTTGTCTAATATACAAGTGTAAACTTTGCTCTGGCTCTTTTGAAAAAATTCTCAATTTTGTTTTGTTTGTTTGGCTCTTCTTGGTAAAAAGGTTCCCGACCCCTATACCTATGGATCCAACATGGCAGCAGACGCGAAGTTACCTTTCGATGCAGCCTTGGATATTGTTCTAAGTAGCTTAGAACGCAAATAAATCTCTGACACATCGTCTTCTTCCTCGTCTAATTTCTTTCGCTCTACATACGTCATCTGGTATAATTGAAACCATTGGCTATGAGCTACGGACAGGTGCATTTGATAGACATTCGTAGCACCCAATAAACGGCTGTGGGCATTCGTAAACCACACCTCAAATACGAGAAAATGAACATGTGGTTCCCAGACCACGTCTCTATGTCAATGAGACATGGTCTTACGTTAGCCAGGCTAGTTAAAGTGATATTTTCGGCAG